TTTGTTGAAGAAACTGTGGTCAAAATTATGTTTTTTTCCACTTGAATTGTCATAATATATTTTATTCTTATCAAAATACAAATATCTTGTTATTGATAGATAGGTGTAAGAGTCGTCTACAAATTTATGCTAAACTCTAACCACCGGGCGTATAGGTTGGACAGAGGGGCCATCAAACCATCAGTATACCCTACCCGTATGAAACTCAACATTTTTTTTTATAAAAACGTGTTTTTAAAGAGAAAATAAAAAATTTTAAAATACAAAAAAGTAATTATAATTTTATACCAGGTCATTACCCTATAGGAGAGGTGTATTTTAGAGTTAGAGGTGATGGTGGTGATGACTAAACACACCCTTGTACAAAAAATTGTTTTTTTTTACAATAAAAAAAATTTTTATACAATAAAAAATTAAGTCATACAAGTTTTTACATATATATATAACGTTTTCATATTGATTTATAGGAATTTTAGCATGATGCAGTCGATTTCTATCGCGATGATGTTTTATTACACTCTAAAAATCAAAAACCGTGCTAGTTATATAATTATCAGTTTTGTATTTAAAAGTATAAAAGAAAAACAATATAGAATTATAAAAATACATATGATTGATGTCTTCTTGTCAAAAAATAGTAATTCATGATGTTTTAAAGATGACTTTTTTTAAAAATACTGTCTTGGCTTTTAGTAAATGATAACAATAATAAACTCCATAAATGAAACTATTATAATAATCATTTTTAACGACGGTAAGCCAGAGCCGTCATTCAAATACTTTTGTAAAGTCACAATACTTGCACAATGTTTTTGTCAAGTCATAACACTTGCAGTAATTTTTTTGTGTAGAATAAGATAACACAATATATCTAACTTATAATAAACTGTTTAATTATTTTAAAAATATTTTTATTGTTAAAAAAAAATTAAAAACAGGTGAAAGGTAAAAGCTATTTCTTTATGGTGTTATCAAATTAATAAAATTCCAATTCTCCAGAAACAACATCAGCAAGTTTTATCTTTTTCATGCAATGGTTAACAGCTTTAATATCAGTTTCATCAACTTTCCAGTAAGAAATAGTGTATATTAAGTCATTTTTTCTTATTAATATTTTTTTTTACTCTGACATTATACAAAACATATTTGCAAGTGCTTTGATTATAACAATCGTGGTCTAGTTTTTTCCAACAATTCTCCCTATCATAACATCTTCTAAATCATACAGTTGGTAGTTGGTCAAGTGTTTATATGAATTT